GAGGCAGAGCAACTGCGGGTTAATGCGAGAGCCCCTCCTTAGCAGGGGTCACTCAAGCGACACTGATGTGAATCAATGTTCCTTTTGTGAACGCATTACTTGGCAGAAACTGGCTTTTTGTAGCCCCCTTAAATGAAGCCCGCAAAACAAAGGGAGGGGGGATGTCCTTCAAACAAAAGGATGAGGTGAAAATAAAGAGAGACTCGCCTGCACTTTATTCTCTTTCATAGAAGCAAATGCATTTGGTGCTTTTTATACATTAATCAATCAATATCACCAACTGTACATCAGCAGCGCAGCCAAGTTATGAACGACCTTGCTGGCAAAGAGGACACGCCTGATGCTTGCAAGACAGCACCGACTTCTGCCCCGTCCCACATTCCTGCCCGGGAGGCTCCCCCCCCCGCCCTCCACGGCACCCGGGGGGGACAACGACGACGTGGGCTCTTTTCTGCTGGCTCCTGCCGAGGCGACCGGAGGGGGAAGCCAGAGCTGGGTTCCGAGACAGACAGCCCCTTCCCCGCCTGCCTCCACCGGGCCACCCAGCTCGGGCCAGGGGAGGATGCGGGTTCTGTGGCGACTGACAGCCTCCCTGCCCCGCCCCGCCCCCCACTGTGTCCAAGCCAGGCGGAGCTTGCTGCTCACCACACCCTCGGGCCTTGTCCACACGGCAGCTGACCACAGCACGAGTGGACACCCTATCCTCAAACCTGCTGCTGAAGGCTCTACAAGAAGAAGAAGGAGAAGAGCCGGTCCTTATGCCCCGCTTTCTCTCTACCCGAAGGAGGAGTCTCAGAGCGGCTTGCCATCTCCCCCCCTTGCTCTCCCCACAACAGACACCCCGTGAGGCAGGTGGGGCTGAGAGAGCTCCGGGAGAACTGGGGCGGGCCCCAGGGCACCCCCCACAGCCTTCGTGTGGAAGAGCAGGAGGCGGCGTGGGGAATCAAGGCCGGCTCTCCAGGTTAGTGTCCTCTGCCGCTCTTCGCCACAACCCCCACACTGGCCTTTTATCTGGAAGTGGGCCCTGCTTTCCGCCATGCCGCTGGCAAAGCAAAGGCAAGACTCTCCACTCAGTTGGCCTTGAACAAGAGTGTCTCGGATCAGTATCCATTGACAGGCGGCATTCCCGGGCCACTGGGCCTCTGAGCTCCCAGAGACTGCCCTGCCAGCTCCTCTCGCCCCGGGGCCTGGCCACCCGAGGGAGCGGCAGGCTGCTTCCGGAGGACGGGTGCTCGGCCCAGACAGCATCGGTGCAGGCCTGAGCGGCCCCCAAAGGCCCCTGTCGAGGGCGGCCGGCCTTCGGCTATAGCCCAAAGAGGGACATCAGGAACACGGGGGAGGGAAACCCCAGAGGACTGAGCTGGCCGCAGGACCAGGCCGGAGGGACAAGCTCCCCTTGGCCAACTCCCCCACCCCCACCCCGGTTACCTTGCAGGAATGGGTCTCGAGGGGCATCCCCAGGCCCAGCCTGCTCACACACACAGCATGTGTTGTTAGTTTTTTACATTCAAAAACGGTACTCTGGAGAGATGTGCTCTGGCTGTCGTTCCCTGAGGGGTCCCTGATGAAAAGCTCCAACGGAGCCTGGCGATTAGGCGAGGCTCCCCCCCCCCCCCCTCGTGTGCCCGTGCAATTGCGAAGTGAAGCGCCCCTTCCGGCTGCCACAAATATGCAAATACCACATGTGTCAGGGAAAATGTACAGCGTGTGGAATCAGAAAGGTGGGGGGAGCCACCTCACCTGGCTAGTGGCTAGTGTCTTAGCTCAGGAAGGGCGGCACCAAACCCCCCACGGGACCCCTCCTCCCGTCAGAGCCACAGCGGGAAGATCGAGGCCTTCCTGGCTTGCTGGTTCTGAACACGGACCTTCCCCTTCCTCAGCATCCCAGCCTCAGGGGACCAAAGGAGGGAGGCCCTCCGAGGAGGCAGGGGCAGCGGTGGCAGCAGGGTGGAACCCCCACAGGCTCCGCCCGCCCACCTGCCCGCCCGTGAAGGTCATGCTACAGAGGCGGTGGCGGCGGCAGCGCAAACAGCAGAAGGCAGAGGACCAGCCCAGCGGCCAGCCCAACACGGTTTGCACACATTCCTTTGGGCCCTTGGACGCAGAGCCCAGGAGGAGAGCAGCACGACTGCGGCTGCCCAGGAACCTCCAGCCGAACAGGGATCTCCTCCTCCCCACCCCTGGCACTGCAAGGAGGCCGTGCAGGAAGCCGGGGGGGGGGGCTTAACACCGTGCGTGCGTGAGGCAAGCAGGGGAGCCTCACCCTGGGTCCCGAGTGAGCACAGCAAGAGCACAGGGAGCAGCTGCTGGGCTGAGCAGCAGCAGAGCAGGAAGACAGCGCCAGGCTGCTGCTGCCGGCACGCCATGGGCAAGTCGGCCCTCCCCAGGGAGAGGGGGGCACCAGGAAGTCAGCCAGACCCACCGGGGTGGGGTGGGGGCTGCAAAGGACGTTCTCCAGGCGGGACCTCCCACCTCTCCTCCAACTGCAGGGGCAGGGAGAGGTTTCCCCGCAGAGAAGCCGCCAGGAGAAGGACCCCAAAGCACCGCCAGGCTTCCCGGCTCACCAGTCAGGCTGGCCGCCGGCTGCTCTCTGTGGCTTTCCGATGCAGCCGAACAAGGGAAACCTTCTGGAACGAGTCAGCAGCTGGAGCTTCCTCTCTTGCTGCTTAATGAAAGCCAGGAGCTGCCGATGACAAGTGTCTGGCAGAGCGGGCCGGCGCTTTATGAGATTCCTGCCACGTTTCAGAGCCGGCGGCTGCAGCAGCAGCAGGCCTTTGCGCCACTTGCTTGCCACCATCCTGCTCACCGCATCCTCTCCACCAGGCACGCCGGTCAGAGACTTGCGCCCAGGCAGTGCCTGAGTGTTTGGGGATGTCTGCACTAGGTCCCCCGGGACCCTCTCTCGCTTGGCCGGGGTGGGGTGCGCGTGCAATGCACTTTAATGAACGGGTAAGGAAAAGGACCAAGCCCTCCCTGTCCTGCGGAGAAGATCTGTCCCCCACCCCAGAGAGCCAGGGCAGGGCCGCCACGCCCCCCCGCCCTCTGGTGGAGCCCTGGCCAGCCTGCCGTCCCAAAGCAGAGGAGGCACCAGGCCGGCTACTCTCTTGTCCTGCCGCCACCAACGGCCTCGCGGGCCCAGTGCCAGGCCGGGATCCCGGAGGCCCCGCTTTGAATTCCCACTGGACCACAGAAGAGGCTCACGGCTTGACTGCGGGCCACTTGCTCCCTCTCGCGGAGCTCCCCTCCCCTCCCCCAAAGGGCTGCCCTCAGAAACAGAGGAGGGGGAGAATGGAGCTGCCAGCCGATCGCGTGTGGGCGCAGGGAGTGCCATCGAGACGTGGTCGACTTCTGGCGGCCCCAGCAAGGGAGGGGCTTTCCAGGCCTGGGGGAAGCAGAGAGGGAGGGGGCGGGGCGGGGCCGCCCTCTGCACAGCCCCCCCCCCGCTTAGCTGCCGAGCTCAGGCCGTGCCGTGCCACGCCAGGCCCCCTCCCCTCCCCTAATATATCAATATACATATAGGGGCACTTAAATTTTTGTGGGGGGACCCCCCCACACACACTTGCAGCCCGCCACCAGAGACAGGAGAGGGTACAAAGCTCCTCGAGGGAAGAGGCCAGTGTCCAGCTGGGCAAGAAGGAAACAAGAAGAAGAGATGGGATTGATACCCTGCCTGAGAGAGCTCTCTCAAGAACTGCCCTTGAGAAAACAGCTCTTGAGAGAACCTGTGACTGCCCCAAGGTCACCCAGTTGGCTGCATGTGAAGGAGTGGGGAATCAAACCCGGTTCTCCCAGATTAGAGTCCGCCACTCTTACCCACTACACCAAACTGGCTCTCGGTGCTGGGCAGTCAAGGGTTTCATTACTGGAAAATAATTATGCCCTGCTTTCCTCCAAAGCCTGCGCTCACGGACTACAATGTGAAAGAGCCACACTCTGCACATGCGCCCCACCCATCCCGAGGGCCTGCCTCTTGGCCCACTCCCTCCACATGCGGCAAGAGCAGCATGGGACGCGGTGGTCCTCTCGGCCAGGCTGAGCCCCCGGCAGCCACGGGGCAAAGGACGCCACGGCCTCTGCCCTCCAGAAGACTCCCCTCTCCTCTCCCGTCCCCTCCCTCAGAGCTCCACCCGAGGGCACCTGCTGGACTCTGGTCAAAGGCACGCCACACCAGTCCCCCTCTCGCCCCGTGCTGCGGGCACCCAGCACAACCACCTGCGCCCAGGATGACAACTCCCTCGGCAGAGGAAGAAGGGGCCAGATCCACCGGACAGACGGGCACCATTTGGACTATTTCAGAATCTGTCCTACTGCCCATCCCTGGCAAAGACTCCTGTGCCTGCAGCAGGCAGAGGCCCCCGCCAGGGGACAAGATGCCGCGGGCCAGCCAAGCCGTGCCAGCACGTGTCGACGCCTCCTTCCTGGGCACTGGCCAGACCCTCACGAGCCCTCCCTCCCCCCTGGGGCCGGTCAAGGCGGCTTCCTGCCCAGCCTCCCGGGTGCCCTCCCCGGCCTCCCGTCACCCGTCGTCCTTCGCATCCCAGCTGGCAGCTCCAGCTCACCCACCCGGCCCCTGAGCAACTCCTCCCCTTCCCTCAGGCCGCTTCAGTGGGCCAAGAGGGGACAGAAGGGCCCGTTCCCAAGGGGACACCTCACGAGGGGAGCCCCACCGGGTGGCTTGGAGGCAGGCAGGCAGGCAGGCAGGCTGGGAGGGGGCCAGCGGAGTCCCATGCTGGAGCAGCACACTGCCAGGGGGTGGGGGCTCGCGTCCACGACCACAGAGGACACAAGGAGTATGCCACCGCCCCGCTCACGAAGGCCAGCTGCTCCCCAGCCCCTCCAAGGAGAGTCCGCCAGCGTGCGCCAGGAGCAGGCCCTGGGTCAGGAGCAACTCCCCAGCCCTCCAGCCCCACCACTGGCTTGGCACCAGTCCCCCCCCCCCGCCAGCAGGCAGGCCTTGTGCTCTGGGGCCGCAGGGCAAGGGAAGGCGCAGGGTCACTCACCCGCCTCGGGCGCAGGGCACTTCCGGATGGTGAAGATCCGAGCCAGGTCCTCCTCCTCCTCCTCCTCCTCCTCCTCTTCCGGGAGGCCCTTCTGCAGGCGCTGCAGCTTCCGCAGGCTCTCGCTGCGCTGGTGCTTCATGGAGCGCACGTGTTGGAGGAGGTTCAGCTTGGCCTTGGTCGAGTAGTTGCAGAGGATGCAGTGGTAGTAGCAGCCCTCCCCCTCCACGCCGCTCTCGTGATGCTGAAGGTGCTGCAGGGGGCAAAGGGGGGCATCAGGTGAGCAACAGAGACACCCAGTCAGTTCCCCGAAGGCGCTCCGGGGCCTCCCGGGCCAGCAAGGGGCAGTCTCTTGACCGGCCCCGGACTTCCTGAGCTAGGAAGCATCCCGGTTCCAAACCAAAGACTCACGGGCTGCACCTGGAAGACGAAGGACCCGGACTGCCCCAGTTAACCCTCCCGAACGCCCCCTGCGGCAGAGAGTCCCCCTTTGAAAGGCAATCAGTCTGACCGGCAGACAGTCCCTCCCGGGCAAGCCAGCCCTGTCCGTCCCTCTCCTCCTGCCGGGGACTCAGAGTAAGCCACAAGTGAGTGAAGCGGGTCATCAACATGCCCCGCAGACATATTTATTTATTTATTATTTATTTATTTTTCAAATTTGTACCCCGCCCTCCCCAATAGGCTCAGGGCGGCTTACAGAGGCAAGGCAAAACCTTGCCATAATAAAAACATCAAATGCATAATAATACAAAACATCTAATACATCTTAAAATATCCTCAGTTAAAACATAGTACTCAATACTTCCAACAGTCCCAAGATTAGAGATGTTAAGGCCCGGAAAAAACCCGGTTTTTTCCCTGAAGCTTTTTTGTTTTTTTCCGAAAAATTGGAAAAATTTAAAAAAGAAAAGAAAAAAAATTGATTATGGAATGTTTTATTTTAACATGATGAATAAAATATTTTAAGACAAGGTGTTCAAATATTTTCCAAATCATTTCTAATATATATATATATATATATGGTATCAGATTGATCTAATTTCTGTGCACTGAGGACAAGCAAGTCCTAGGTTACAAACTGAACTCTCCAATGCAAGAACAAGATGCATTTCTTCCTTTAGGAGGTGCGATTGTCAGAAGAAAATAAAAAGGTTTCAGTTTTGTTTTTGCATGTGGGTGGGTATTCTGTTTGTAATAATTGTTTGGGTACACTATATTTTTAATATGCTAGTTGTGATAATTTCATGCCAAGTAAAAATGTCCATAGTCATTTTTTATGTTCCTAAAGTAACAGAATGACTTTCAATCTAGAAAAGACAAAAGAAATGCTAATGTAGCATTTTTTTCAATTTTTCTGAAAATTTCCGTTTTTTTCCGGAAAAAAACGGGGGAAAAACGGGGTTTTTTCCGAGCTTCAAAATTTCCGGAAATTTTACATCTCTACCCAAGATAGCAAATCATAGGTCCAAAAATTCCGAGTGGTACCACGGCTAAGTCCCACGGCTAGGGCTTCTTCAATATCCAGATGTTTCAGATGTTTCCTCAGGGCGGTGGTGGTATAGTAGGGGCGGCAGCTCCTACTCGAAAGCCTGGTGGAAAAGCTCCGTCTTGCAGGCCCTGCGGAACTGCATAAGGTCCCGCAGGCCCCATCTGTGTGCAGGCCCCTGAGCACACACGCCCCACATCACAAATGCCAGGGGAACACCCTTGGCTGGCTTCTGCAGCCCCTTCGCACCACACGCGGAATTTCGGGCCAGCAGCCCTCGGCACGTGAGGAAGCCCCAGCAAGAAGCCGGACCGGACCCCGCCCAGCTTGCCATGCTTGGAGCAAGAATGGCCATCGAGCAACACTGGCGGACCCCCCTTGCAGCAGCAGGGGCGAGGGGGAGCCACATGCAAGCAAGCCCTGCCTCACATAAAATACCAACCAAGCCTCGGGCGGGAAGGGAAGGAAGCCCCAACACGAGTGCAGAAGCCAGGTTTGTCTGGGAGTCACCAGACGAACAAGAGGAAACGCGTTCCCAGTGCCCCCGACCCCTGGCACCGCAAGGGCAGTGCTGCCTGCTCCGAGTGGCAGGTCTCTGAGCAGAGCGCCTCACCTCACCAGGGACTGAACATGGGACCTTCTGCATGCCAAACAGAGACATGCTCCCCCCCCCCTCGCGAGAACAATGGTTGCTTGGTGCCTGCCTTGCCTGCCCCTCCCCACACGCACAAGGAACCAGAGAGCAGGCCCAGCCTCACTGCCCCCTTCCCAGCCAGCCTGGTGAGTCAAGACAGGGGCCAGGAGAGAGGCCCCCTGCAAAGAACACCCAAGAGAAGGGCTGGGCCGGGGGGGGGGGGGGGAGGGGGGGTTGTTGGCTGACGCCCGGGAAGCCCGGCTCCAAATCTCGGCTCACTGGGAATTGCGGAGGGGGGGGGCCTGGTGCTTGGGCCTTCCGCCCTCTCTCAGCGTCACCTCCCTCGCCGGGCGGTTGTGAGGGTAAAACGGAGGAAGGCTGCCCTTAGCTCCTGAGAGGACAAAAGGGAAACAACTCATTGGCTAAAATGTATTTCTCTGACCGGCTCTTTTGAAATCTGGAGGGGAACAGTCCCCCGTCCCAATAATAGGACGCTTCTAACATATGGAACGTCTTTGGTCATGGAATGTAAAATGCGGATCACGGCGAGTCCAAGTTCCCCTTCCCAAGCAGAAGCAGAGTTTCTTCTAACAGCAGCCCCCCACCCCCACCCCGGTGAAGCATCCCTTCCCCTGTGGGCAAACAGCACCCATCCCTCCCTGTGGGCATGGTCATCCCCGCAAGGGACTCCAGGACGCCCAACAGGGGGGAGAAGGGAGCTGGCAGCATCAGTCCGGACACATCGAGTCACAGTCGGGACAGGGGCCGACCGCTGGGCCAGAGACCCCCTGAGGAGGAGGAGGCAGCCCGTCAAGAGCAGAGGCCGATGGGTCTCCTCCGCCTGGCAGCCCTCAAGCCTCCGGACCCCCACCGGCTGACCTGCTGCAAGAGCACAGACGGTCCCTCAGTGGTTTGCAGCCGACTTGCTGCAAGGGAAGAGAAAAGGGCCAACACTGACGTCTCACTGGGGAAGAAAGTGTTGGGTATTACAAGCTGAAAACACTCAGTATGTCTGGGGTTAAATGTTTGTTTATGTTACTCACATGTTTCTCATGTAACCAATGTTCTTTAGCTGTAGAATACCTGGGAATTTTCTCCCTGATCTAGGAATTTGATTGGGACTAAAGTGTCAAGGTGTATTAGCATTTTATGGCTCCTCTTCCCATCTTTGTTTTCTGTTCTGAAGAAGAAGGGAAGCCATAACTGCTCTCTTCTAGTTTTGTCTTTGTAGTGTAAGGATGTAGCAGATTTTGCTCTGTTGTTATTTTCATCCCAGTTACCCTTCCCATGCTAGAATTTAGTAAAAACTTTATGTTTTAATCACACATGGACTCTGAGTCTGAATTATTTTATTCCGGGACTGCTGGACTATCTTATCTCTGCTAAATACAATTTTTTCAATATCTCACTATCACTCAACAAAGGTTATGGGCCCAGATCGGTTCAGCTGCGCCAGATAGCTAAGCAGAGTGCGCAGCCAGACTTTGAGTCAAGAAAAATCATGTGTGCCAGAGTTTTCTAACACATAATTTTTATCTTAACTCACATTGGATTTATGAGATTCAGACAACATCCTGTTTTCTTCATGAACTTGTGGGACCAGACTAGCTGCCTGTGTTTCCAAGTCGGAGAAGCCTGTAGTGTTTGATCTGAGTGTGTCTTCTTACCGTGCCGAGCGAAAGAAAAAAAAGGGGGGGTGAGACCGATCCTGCTGTTCCTGCTGAAAAGCCAGCGCTGCTGAACGTAAGCATCTTCTACAGGCTTAATCCCGCGCTCACAAAAGATCGACCGTTGTCCTCATCACTCTCAGGTTTCGGTAACGTATTAAAAGGAGAAATCATTATGTCTGCAACTAAGAATCTTGCTTTTTTCATTATCCCCACCTTAGAATCAAGTAATTTCTCTTGGTGGAAGAGATCAGTAAGGAATGCCCTTCAGGCCTATGGAGCTGTTTCCGTGCTCAATGAAGACCCTCCTGCAGCAGGGGGCGCTCTTGAAAAGTACAGAGAGTGTGATGGGTTTGGAATGTCTTTAATTATGGGAACCGTGAATACTAAAGCTAATCAGGAACTTTTAGAGTGCACGTCCACGAAACAAATGATGTTGAAGCTTGAACAAACTTATGCTTCGAAAAATGATGCTAATTACTTGTTCCTTTATCAAAGATTAATAAATGCAAAAATGAGAAATGGTGAATCACTACTTAAACATTTGAATTATGTCATGGATGCTTATAATGCAATGAAAAGTATGGAAGGTGCAGCAGGGGAAAAAGTTGTTGTTGCTGTGATTCTCGGTTCTTTGACCAGAGAATATTCACATGAAGTGGCTGTTTTAAAGGGGACAAAAGACTTAAAACTGGAATATATGTTAGCATATCTAAAAGATGAAGGACATAGACGTGAAATGTCCCAGGCTACAAATGACTTGTCTGTACTCAGCATAAAGCCTGATTATAAAAGGGAAAATGCCAAAAGAGATATATAAAATGCCACAACTGTGGGAAATTCGGGCATATAGCAAGACATTGTAGATCAAAGACTTTACCAGAACAAAGAGATCGCCCCATATCTTACTGCTCTGAAACCAGAGCCCCTAAGGGGCGTGGCCAAGGAAAGCCAAGTAAGCCTAGTGGTCACTCTGAGAAACGAGGTGTGTTTGTTATAAGAGAGAAACAGCAGAGAGCTGATGTTGTGAAGCAGAACAGTAACATGAAAGCTTTGTCTGTCACTAAGAGAAATGATGAGCAAAATGATTCATTTTCACTAGATAGTGGAGGTGCATATCATATAGTGAATTCAGACACATGGTTCACTGATTTGGACAGAGAAAAGAGGCCTGCTCTACAAGGGGCAGAAGGCAGAAATCTCTCTGTAAAGGGATGCGGTTCAGTTAAACTGTATGCCTTGAACTACTGCAATGAGATAGTGGAAATCACACTCAAAGAATGTGTTCTAATTTCCCAAGCCATAAATAATCTCATATCCACAAAGAGAATCATGCAAAATGGTCTTAATATTGATCTCAGACCAAGCCATGGAAAAATTTGGAGTGAAAATGGATTTAATGTGATGCTTGAAGAAAAGGATGGTTTTCATTACCTGAGAAATATTGCTGATACTGATTTAGATGA